AAAGCTATTAAAAACTTGTTAACTAAAAAAATACGTACAATTTCAAGCTCTACAAGTTAGTAGTTGACAAGATTTTTCCAGCTACTCTAGTTTTCCAGATATCCTATCATTTCCCTTCAAGCCTCTTTTATCTGACTTCTGGTGTTCGAAACTCGGAATTTAAATTGAATCAGATATCATTTTGTAGAGCTTGTCAAGTTTTACAGTTTACAATATTACTTTTTTCAGATTGCCTACTTGCTTATCCTCATTCTCACGATAGCCTCCTTCATTTTCTCTGTGGATCTGTATACTTTAATGACTGCAAAGTCATACAGGTTTCGAGAACATTATCACTATGATAGGGAAAGTCAAGAGATACTGTATCATGAAGAAATCGTCTAGACACCTGATGGAAAACAAATTACTATTCAATGGTCCATGTTGTGAGCAATTATCACTGATAATGAAGAATTCTCATTAGAGCGAGTTTACCCATTTTTTCTCAAAACCTAATTCATTTTCTTAATGGGGGTTGGCCGGGATAATTATGAGAATTCGGAAATTCAAAACAAAAATGCAAGATTTGAGAAAACAGGGACAAAAATCAATTATTTTTTGGCTGGTGGCTCCAAATCTCGCTCCTCGCTCTTCTTGCTCTTCTTTTCCATCGAAGCTCTTCTCTTGGATACTGTAGATGATGTGGCAGCAGAAGCAGATGACGTTGATGGTTGTTGTCCTCCAGATGCTCTTTTCGGAGCTGAAAATTCGAGTTTAGGATTTCTAGGCCATCAAAACTCGGCCAGCAAGCTCCTACCTTTTCTATTCCCTGCGGATGGTGGTCGTGGTGGTGGTGGTACGGCGTCTAGCGGTCCTGGCCGTATGCCAGCTTCCTCGGCCTCGGCCAGCTCGGCGAGCAGATCCAGGAAGTTCTGAAAATGTCGATTTGAGCTCAAAATTCGTATTTTTGAGGCTGAAAATGCCCAAAAAATAAGCTCAAAAAATTGAACAACTTACATTATCCGATTGTCCCAATGGTGCTGACGATGTAGACGTCGACGATGAATTCGTCGTTGTAGAAGGCGTCACTGGCTTCTGACTCTGCTGTATCATTGCCTGATTAGCAGCGATCGCAGCGGCTCGTGGAGCACGTCCAGATGGTGATGGAAGGAGAGTGGTGGTGGATGATGGCTGGGTTGTTGGAGCAGCTGGAATTTCAGATTTTGTGGATTTTTAGTTAAAAAATCGTAAATTTAGAGTTGAAAATACCTAGTTTTGAGCTCGAAAATCGTATTTTCAGACCCTAAATCGCCCACTTTGAGCTCAAGAAACGTCGTATTTCTAGGGTTGAAATATTCATTTTTAAGCCTAAAATTAGTGTTTTCAAGGCTTAAAAATCAGAATTTTCGAGCCGAAAATACCCAATTTTCAGCCTTGAAACCGTATTTTTAGGTCTGAAAATACCCATTTTGGAGCTTCAAAATCCCAATTTTTTAATCGAAGATATCAACTTTAGAGCTATAAAATCGTAATTTCAAGGCTGTCAAAATACCAAATTTTCAGCCAAAAATAGCATTTTCAGAGCTTAAAATACTCATTTTTGTGCTTAAAAATCCTCATTTCTGAGATTAGAAATCGTATTTTCTGGACCGAAAAAAAACCAAATTTTGAGCTTAAAAATTGCATTTTAGGTATGAAAATATGATTTTTAAGCTCCAATTGTCATTTTCCGCTCAAAAATATCAAATTTTGAGCCTTAAAATCGTACTTTCAGGTCTGAAATTACCCTTGTTTGAGCCCTAAAATCGTATTTTTAAGTCTGAAAATACTTATTTTTCCATACTTGTAAAATTCCGGGCCGGCCCGCCAAAGCCCGGGCCCGGGCCGGGCCTGAGGAAATTTTCAAGGCCCGGGCCCGGCCCGGAAGGCCCGGTGTCAAAAATTCTGTATTTTTGAGCCAAATTTTGAGCTCTCAATATAATTTTTTCCATTTTTTTTCGTATTTCGGATTGTTTGTCTGTCTGATCAAAAAAGATCGAAAAACTCGAAAAAATATTCTTTGGTCGAAAAAAATCACATAAGGGTCCCCCCTTATGTGTTCTTTTGAAAATTTCGAAACTAGTGAAATGACGGGCCCGCCGGAACTAAAATCCCCATTTTTGACCCCGA